TATTTTAAAATGGTAATAATAACTGTATTCACAACAATTATTTACTTTTATAACTTCAAGAGGTTATATGACTGATTATTCTTTTAATAAGATGATGTATATAGAGTTTATTTTTAATAAAAATATAATTATCTTCTCAATAAGATAATTTATATGTATTTTACTTATAATAAAATATAATTATCTTCTCAATAAGATAATATACATAAATTTATTTCTAACAAAATACTCTCTTAATAGAGTAAGAAGAAAATAAGATAAGATATAAGATAAAATATGTGTATTTATTAAAGAAAAAATACTAATTAACTACTCTTAACTTAGTAGTAATTACTTCTATCAAACTTAATTATTCTTCTTGATCACTTTTTGACTCTCTATATATAGTATTTTCCTTATTACACTAATTACAAATTATTTCTAACATGATATTTCACTTAATTTAGTCAAGAACAAGTAAAATTTTAAAAGAATAATCACAAAGAATATTAAATATATGATAATAAAAAATTTAAAATTAGTGAAACATTAAGTTATTCAAAGTTAAAGTGAGAAATAAAAGAAAATTAATAATTAATTAGAAAATTATTAATTTAATAAAACTATAAATTAGATATGACACATATAGCTAAATTAATATTTGAATAAGACTAAATATGAGTAATAATATAGATTAAAAATAAAATAAATTATAAATAAGATTAATTAATAAAATTACTTATTTACCCAATTTAGTAATAATTGGTGATTACTGCGCCATGTGCTGTAGCTGCATCACATCCACTATACCATATAAATAGATGATTGGTTATAATATATACTTACTAATAATTATTTTTCATTTCAAAAAAGAAGAATAACAGATTATCACTGATCAAAAAATATTTTTTCTATTATAAGACAAATTCAAGAATCAGGACAACTTATACTTTACTATATTAAAGGATGAAAATATGAATTTACTCAATTATAATTGCTTCTTACAAAATTCAGCACTGATGCTATTCATTATAATAAAGACAAGTAATTTTTATATTTTGGCAATAATATCTTTCAGCATCATCAAGCTGATCAATCAAAAATAATTGTGAATGGTGCTTGAAATAGCCTTAAAATAGAAGTGGAATATAACATACTTTATAATATTTATCTTGCTGAATTGCAATTTCTATAATATCCTTTATTGTGAGTGAAAAAATAGCATTTTCCTCATTTATTTTCTATTAAAAAGAGAGACTTCTCATACACTATGGAATTTTCTATTAAATCTAATTTATTATCTATCTCCAAGTTCTTAATTATTATAAATAGCCTTGGAAAATGTCAGTTCTTTTTGTGATTATTCAACTTGTAATATCTTAATTTTGGTTTAATTATTTGTAAATAAGAAGTTATTTGAAGTTTAGTCAGCTCAATATATTCAAGTATATCATTTAATAGTGTAACTCAGATTAATTGATTCATATATCATACATAACTACAAGCTGTATATATAGCATTATTGATCCAACCTCTCAGACTATGATTTATAATAAAGTAACATTCTGGTATCTCAATTATTTGTCCTTGAATTTAATGAACTATTCTCCAGTCAGCATATTTTCATTTAGCAGAAAGTCTGTGCAATACAATTTTAAATAATACATTTATTATAGTACTAATATATGCTTCTATAATTTCAATGCTACCTGAAATTTATACAGGCTTTTCTTGAATATAATATTTATGTTTAATATTATCATCTGGATCAAAATGAATAACTAAAGACTCATTGAGAAAGTATGATATATATGCTTATAATAATGCACTTTCAACTTGTATATTTATATATTATTTGAAATCTACTAAGTGAAAGCATTTTTCCATATTATTTTAGGTATAGCCTTATGAAATTCTAATAATTGAGTAATATTATTTTTCATCCACATATGTAATTTTAATACCTTGAGTTCATTATCTTGTGCATGATAATCTTTTATATATCAAATTATTTCATCAGCCCATTCTGTAAGAAATTTATACAGATCTTCTTTATTACCTTATGATGTAAATTGATCTGAATCATCATATATAATTATTTGACAGCCTCAATTTTTGGTATAAGATAACAATCTTTATAATATTTTTTTAGATATCATGCATATTTTATCAAAAATTAATATTTTGATAAGCATCTGAAATATGCAAGATCCTATTCATCGATTATTATTACTCTCAAATAGAAATACTTATGATATATCATGACCATTAAGCCTGAATTTTGCTTTTTATGATATTTAGCAAACAAGTTTACCAGAGTGAGAATCATAATTTTTTAATTAGAAAATACATGAATAGTTTATGTCATTTTTCTACTACCTCTCTGACCAACTAAGTAAAATTTTCACAATATAATTAATTTTGGATCAGTAGAAAGAGGTGATACTTTGCTTGAAGGAAACTCTAATATATCTTTATAATTAATAATTCAGGATGATACTTCTTTGTAATAGATATAATCTAGCTTTTTCTTGCATTACTGGTCATACTTAATTTCTGAAATATCTAAAACTATTACAGATTCATATTTTTTATTTTATCTACTTCCACATTGTATCTTTTTTGAATCTTTTCTAACTCTATATCATTTTTTACATTAGCAAAGAGCTTTTTATTAAAATTGATCTTAAGTTTACTCTCATCTAAAATAGTTTCAAAAATTGCTATTATATAAATTACATCAGTACATACTCATAATACATTTTTAATTAGGAAGTATTTTAGCTATTTGAATATAGTAATATGAGTATAGGCAAGAATAAAAGAGTGAATATGCAATTATTGAGCATATTTTTTATCCTTCTCATACTTTATTAGGGTTCCATGCTCATTACTTGTTCAGTTTGATTGATACTTTTTTCTTGTTAATCATTAATGAATCATATCTATCTTATTTTTGTCTTGAATTAAAACAGATGTAACTTATATATTATGAGCACATGATCCTATAAAATGAATTACTATATTATGATCAGGTAGAAATTCAATATAGAATTTTTTGTTTACACTATATATAATTTCTCTTGGAGTTGCACTTATAAGCCATCTAGCACTAAGTAGGTAATCTATAAGAGATGTCAGAATTTAGTTTTTCTTTTTTGTAAGATGTTATTCAATAAGTTTTGCTATAAATAAATGGAGATTTTTGGCAAATTCCCATGTTATTAGCTGAATAATGCCAGTCAAGCAATAGATAGCTTCAATATTATTAATGCAAATATATCATTATATTTATTCTGGAAATTCATATTATCTTACCCAAGGTAATGCTTCTAATATACTCCATTCTGAATCTTCACAATCAAGATATACTCTACAAAGATCAATATGAATATGTTTAGGAGGTAGATCTATTAGAATATTCCATACTATTGATTCTACTTGAGATTGTCATCAAATTTTAATAATATTCCTAGGTATGGACTTGATACCTTCTTTTTCTTATCAGTAATAAAATTGGTAAGATTATGCATCTTTCAGAAATTTTTCAAGTTTATTATATTCTGCTTTAAGCTCTTGTGAAGAAATTAGTACTATAAAAGGATAATATCCTTCTTTTATCTATACACAAATATCTATCAGATTCTATTTTAAAAGTTCTTCAAATATGAATTATGATTTTTCATATTTAAAAATCTTAATTAATCTTTTTCATTCATAAGAGCTATGATAGAGATGATCTTTATATGTTAAAATTTTCTTATCTATAATTCATACTCTTATAGTTTTCAGAAGTTTTCTGATAACAAATAATATAAGTGCTTTTGTAATTTTTTTATTGTTGATATTAATCTTTCTCTCTTTAATTTTTGTATATGCAGAAGTAAGTGCTTTTTTGCATTCTAAATTCATATCACAAACTGAAGATATTTTTGGTATTTCAGAAATATCTCCTATCCATGCATAGTTGTTATGAAAAAATACAGTTAGTTTGCATTATTTGAGATATTTATCACTATCTATATTTCATTTTTCAAGAAATCCTTAATGACTATTTTCATTCCTATACTTCCAAATTTCTCTGACTTTTCAAGATCATGCAAGTTATTCAAAGTACAACACAGATTCAGAACTTTTTCATTAAATTTAACAAGGATGCTTTCATGAGCTAGCATTAACTCTATAACTTGCTTTGTTCCTTCTTGCTTAATTTGTCATTACAATTCTATAACAATACAATTTATATCATCATTATAGAATAGATCTGATGGATCTTGTGATATTGGAACTGGTCAAAGTTTATAATAAATATATAATACATATTTACAAATCTTTGTCCATAGATATTGATCAATTTTTATAAGTTATCCTGAAGTGATTTCTTCCTCAGTAAGACTGCCAGCCTTTTTTTTCTTATTAAAATACCAGCTCTTATTTGCGATCTCTTCATTTACAGATCTATCTAATTTCTAGATTTTAGTAAAGAGTGTATATTCTGTAGCATAATAAAGAAATGACCAAATTTCTAATGCCATATTATGATAAACATGAATTAGTAATTGAGTATGCCATTAAACTATTTCATTTTTATGAATACCTGAATCAAATAAATCTCGACGTGAATATGCCATAAACTGGTAATGCAATACATATGATTGGTCTTCTAAATAATAGTCTCCATCTTTATTTGGATCTATATTTTCATCTTTTCAAGATAATCATGCCCTCTGATCCATCATTAAAAGCTTATGTATATTGATTTTCCCATTAGAATATTCATTAAATGATGATATCCATTCATGAAGCTCTATTTTCCATTTATGTTTTTCTTCTGGAACCCATTCCTCTTTTAAACCTATAGGTATATTATTATCATCAAATTGCATTTGTCTTTCCATTCTACCTATTTCCTAACTATTAACAATCCCAATAATATATTCCTCATCATCATCCATCAGATTACGAATTTTATTAGTATATTCATATGTAATATGTGGTTTATTGGCATTAGGAGAAAGTTTTCAATACTCTATTCCATGATTATTTAGCTTTTTCTGGAGTGCTAATTTTGAAATACGTCTTGAGAACCATGTAATTGATCCATCTATATGTCGAACCGGATCTTCTTTTTCCAATCATAAATGTTTATCTGCCCATTCATCAAATGTAGTAGGAACTGGTTCTGATTCTTTTGGCTTATGACCTTTTTCTGGCCTAGCTAACCAGTCAGCTAACTTGTCAATGGAATCTATTTCTGATTGGTAATTAGTTTTCTTTTCGAGATTTCTAATCTCTTCTTGATATTGAGTTAAAATAGCATTAGAACGTGAATAGGGTATCGTGTTCAATGCTACTCCTTTAAGCTCTGCAAGTCTGACTTGCGTATCTTTGCGGATGCTTGCTTGATTGGCTTGTCTAGATGACATTGTTATATAATAAACCTAGATATTTTCTTAAAACTATATTTTTTATTCAATTGTAATTTTTTTATAATATCATGAATAGTAAGAAGCGTGGGAAAGAAAGTGAATGGTAAAGAAATCGGTAGACGCTTGTAGTATAGTTCGACGATCAAAAAAATTGAGGTGAATTCTGCTAACTATTTCATGTCTCATAGCTCAGTGGTCTGAACCGTGGAAACACTACGTCATATTTCTCTCCTTACTAATGGTGACATGAATAATTTAACGATCCATACCCTCATAATGAAAATAAGGAAAATATATCATTGATAATCGGTAAAGGGTTTATATGGAGTACATTAAGTCGATACTCGTCGAACCAATATGTGCGCATCAATTAGCAATTTATTTTCGACATTTAAAACCGGCACACGCCGATGCGCGTCAATCAGTTAAAAATAAAAACCCGGTGAGATTATTTTATTAAAGTAAAAAAAATGGACGGATTTATTACATAGATTGTGACAAGCAATCACAATGTCACGTGACTATTGATTTATCTGAAACCTTAGCTAATACGTAATTAATATCGTCCTGATATATTTGCTAGTGTTGTTGCCGTGAAAGTCTGAATTCGTTTAATCTTATCCTCCCCTAATTCATTGAATAAATCATAAATCTTCAGGGCCCTTTCTTTTGTTTTTCGAAGTAAGCTTTCACTAACCGAATTTGGAAGCTGTTTTCTAATCTCATCAGAAACCTTTCCTTCAGACGTACGCTTCGGATAATCTTTTCTGTAGTAATTATACCGTTCCTCGATTGCTTTCCCAAAATGAAAATAGCTACGTATAAGATCTTGAGTCGTTTTTTTATTAACAGCTTCAGAATCTATGATCTTTCGATATAAATTTAGAAAGTTAACTGATGTTGTATTGGATTCGGAGGCAGATTCGGATGGTAAAGCTTCTGCATCCCCGGGAGCATCAGTCGAAAGTTCCTGAATAAGTCTTTTCAATATGGGAGAATCTTCTCTATTTGCGGATTTCTTTTTTTTATTGGATGATTTAGATGCGATAGCACCCTCACTCCGTGAGTCAGTCTTCATAATTCGTTTTTTCTGCGTCCCACTCTCGAATAATATCGGATCAATATCGCGATTACCTCCGCTCAGTAATGGTGATGTATCTATTGGATCATTTGTAATTCTTGGAGTATTCATTTTAAGATCACTACTCATCAGATCGGCTAGATCCGAAGTTCCACTCGATTGGGAATTTCTCTGTTCGGGAACCACAGGCTCAACAGATTTATTGCAACCAGAAATGGGACATACATTTGACTGTGTAAGTAAAAAATTTTTCTCGATACACTTTCTATGGAAGATATGTCCACATATGAGGATTGTGAATGGTTCGTAGATAAGCGTAATAATTTCATTTCCACATTCTGTACACGATCCTATTTCAGTAAATTCTTTATCTTTGACGGCCTCATCATTAAGGTTTTTTAGGATAGTATATGCGAAGGTACGAAGGTTGGAGAGAGGCATAGATCGTGTCTGTAAGGTAATGACAAAGATATGATCAGATGATAGACCCATATAGCGCTTGTTTTTATAACACATTGGTCTGTATCAGCACCTGTTATTCTGACACGTCAAGTATCCTGAATTAGCATTACGCCCGAAATTGTGTATGAGGTAGAAATAGAAAGGTAGGGAAATGATCGACGAAAAAAACGACCATTTAGGTCTGTTTTGCTTTATTAATACAGTATAAAATACATGAAAATCTGGAGATCTATTTTTTGGTTCGGTATCCCTCTATTCTAGTTCGCTTACTTGATGGTGATTTTTCCACACACGCCCTATCCCTTAACAAGCCAACAACTACACCTAAAACCTTTTTCACGCCGTTATATAGTGCCAGATATTCGTTAGAATCTTTTTCTAAGGCATCATCGGTAAATCCAATGCTTAACGGCATTTTACTACCTTTAGAAATTTCGCCTGGACTATATAGCAGGAAATACCAATCCCGTCCTGTTGTTACAATGCCATAGAGGTAATCGAAGTCGTCATCGAATGCCTCATCCCGCTTACGTTTTCTCTTGTTGGTTTCAAACGAACTTTCTAGCTGTTTGATGTTCTGCGCAAACCCCATAGGAACTTTATGCTGTTTATCCTCCGTGATGCAAATAAGATCCTCGGAATCCTGGAGACACGTAATAAAAAAGAAAGGATGTTAACGAAACCGGTCTTAGTATATTTAAAGCTTTCACCTTATTCCTACCTTGATTGCATAATCGACACGCCCAGAACTTTCTTCTCCGATGACTTCCTGTTGAGAACGCATGCTAAATTCTTTTTCTGTATCTTTTCTTGTTATATTGAGTGCTGAATGTAGGATCGCCACGACATACTCATTGCGCATTGCCTCTAAACAGTCTTCGTGCAAAGGTCCGTAATTTTTCAACCTGACCAAAATTTCCGCCATGCAATGCTTGAAATTTGGATCGCTGTCTTGAATTTCATAGGTTGGAAGAGTGAATAAAGGGATCGCCTCTATGCCTTCGGATTCCATACCATATTTTGTTAGCACTTCTTTCAAACTGTGGTATGAGGAGAATGAACGCTTCGGCATGGTCTTGAGGGATTTGGCTTCTTTTGCGAGTTTCATTGCCGGTCCACCCGCAAGTCCATAACTACGGAACTTTTCTTCGGTCATATCGAGAAAGACCTGACCATCAATCTTTTCTTTGCGGATAATAGCGAAGTCCTCATCGTCAAGCTTTAGGCCCTGCTCTTGCAGGTAAAGGACAAGGGTCTCGGTGTCCCAGTTTTCGACTAAATATGCATCGTGTTCGGTTGTGGAAATAGACATGGTAGGTATACTGCTTTATATACGAAAATTTATGTTGTGCGAGTATTGGTCCGGAAAAAAAAATTTTTTTATCAATTAATGAGGGGATCAGTGGTATATCGATATGTGAGAAATCATATATGCAATATAGGTCACACAGATTACATAAACGGATCATCGCTTCCTATTTAGGAGTACCGTTAAAGCGGAGTAGTGCCCAGCCACGATTGGCGCCACATAGTCTGGTGATCTGTGGCATGATAGGACACGTGTTCGTATGTCTGTTAAATTACGAGACATTTATATATCTGTACGTCTGAACGCCTGTACGCTTGTACATACGTAACTGTGGTTAAATTACGAGACATTCATATGTCTGCGGCTAAATTACGAGACAAAGAATAAGTTTATTATGGTATAATAATAATATGAGGCTTTTTTTCTCTTGTTGACTTTAAAATGAGACGGATTTGTTGGGGAGTCTGGTGTATGGTATTTTTCTGGTAAATAATGAGCATTTCAGACTGAATATGAGTATCCAGATCTTATTTTTAAAAGCAGATAATCAGCTAAGTTTCGAGGTTGATGGGATACTCTATCTTGTGCATTAGGCAGAGTCTGTTAACTCTCTATAAAACTGATCTGATTAAAATATTCTCACCAGAATTAATCATCCAACTGAATGCGTTCTCTTGACTTTTAAGTTGTGATATTTAGTTCTATAAGAATTATATTAATACTTTTTTTTACAACATTACCTCCAACAAGAACTGTTAATTATCATTATTACCACTTCACCATTATATTTATCATTATCATTCTACTACTACATCTATTATATCATCTCTACTATCTTCATCATCATCATCATCATCATTATCACCATCTTGACTATTTCCAATAGATACTTCTTGTCTTATTCCAGATGAAAAATGGATTCTTCTTTTTAATGTACAAAATGCATTTGAGATTCCAAATGAAGAATTTGATAATAATTAATGATTCTTGATTTCAATATATAGACTCAATTCAATTCCTATAAACTCATCAATGATAATTTCTGGAAGATTTTTACGTATCAGTTTACAAAATACTGAGACTCAAGCATACAACAAAATGAAGATATCTCAAATGAGAAATGCAGAAAAATAATGATTCAACCATCTGGACTTTGTTATGTCAAAATTAAAATTATGTAATTAGTTTTCTCCAAGAAGATTCAAATTAAATGCTATAATAATTTGCCAAATCATACATATACTTTAAAAAAAAGTAATCAAATTAAATATTTGGAGACTGTTCAAACTCTGGTTAAACAAGAAGCAATAAAAAATTATCTATTAGTAATAATTATCAATACTATTAAGAAATACGTAACTAATAAACTAAATCTTGATGCTAGTATTCAAAACTTAAAATAGAGAAAAGTTACAAATATCAGATACAAGATTCATAAATTTATAAAGATTTACTTTATTAGTAATATCAACTTAAAGTTAGATATTTTGGAAACTGTATTCTATTTAAATAAATAAGAATATCATGTTGAGCATTATTATATTTCTAATCAGTTCACCAAAGATATTATTTTTGCATATTTTAAATAATTTGAAAAACTATAATATCATGACTAGCTTACTTTAATTAACTCTATACACAAAATAAACAAATATGATTGACATCTATTTACTTTATATTTTTATGATGACTACAAATACTGAGATATCAGTACTTACTTTTTCATAAGTAATGAAGACAGTGAAATAATTACTAAAGAACTACAAATAATCCAAAATAAATATTCTTGCTAGATGTTCTAGTATATTCTTATGGATTAGAGTAGTATTGAAACCAATAGTATAAAGTGAGTTTTTTCTGATCTTCTTGGTGATGAATAATAATATGATATAATTCTTTGCACTATCCACATTATATAGATATAGATAATAAAAATTTATGAGAAAAAAGCTTAGAAAACTATGATCTTAGTAATGCACAAAAAAATAAAAATCAATTATGAGCAATTAATTCAAGAAGTTATCCATTCTTGTACAGTTCTAATAATTTGTAAATATATTAAAAAAACTATCTTAAAAATAATTATCAATAGGCTCTTTGAACTCGTTAATACTAAAGATAACTCCTTAATTATTTATTTAAATTTTAATAGTTGCAGTTTTTGTTGATAGTTGCAACATATGTGCTGCAATTAGCCATAATTACATCATCAATGACATTATCAGTTTTAGCTAATCAAATTTTAAATATTATATTATTATATAATTTTAAATAAATAACTTTAATTTTAAATATCTTGGTCAATTTATATCCAATTTTAATAAATTTAATATCATTAGACTCACAAAAATTCAGAGAATTTAATGATATTAAGATC